CTGAAAAAAATATATGTTAAACTACAACTAATAAACTTTATTTTAATATAAAAATAAAAATTATTTCTTATTAAATTATAAATTTTTATATAGAGAGAGAAAATTTCAATTTTCACTATGTTTTATTAGTAAATTTAGCCCCTGAGTCATTACTTTTGATCGTCACTGTATATAATATTCTTATATATAAAAAACTAAAAATTAAATATATAATTATAAATAAATAAAATAAAATATAAATAATTAATTAATAAAATTATTTATAAGCTTAAACTCTGGTTTAAATATATACTTGATCTCTATAAATACAATACTTTTTATTATTCTTTAAATATATGATATCAAAAAGTTGATCTAAGCAAGTTATATTTAGAAATATCTAATTATATAATATTATAAATTATATTTATAAAGATAGATTTTATTAAAAATATAGTCTATAATAAGTTTTGAGAGCAAAGACTGAATTATTTATAAAAATAAAAAGAATTATGATTATTCTAAAAATTTTCTAGTACTAATATTTACAAGTATTATATTAATACAAGATAAAAATGAAATAAAATAAAAGAGAGTTGTAATTATGAAAACTAATTAAGAGTAGATATCAAAAACTAAAATAACAAAACTATAACTAAAAATAAAAGATTTAGTATATTAACTAAACCCTCTAATAATATCTTTTCAACTATTAGATAAATAAGAGATATATATCAAAACAAAAATAAAGCTTTTATATATAAGAAAGCTTATAAAAATCTCTGTAAATCAAATAAAATATACTTGACTTATTTTAAGTAGAGAATATTCATTATTTATATTTTTCAGACAAGAAAAATATGTGATTAATCAGAATATAATCATTATAATAGAAGAGATAATTGAAAGCAAAATATCAAGATAAAAATTAAAGAAAAATTATGAGATAAGTATAACTTAAGTATTTTCAAAGATAATTGAATTATTATTATTCAAGTATATTTATTTTATGTTTGAGAGCAAAGATATTTATATATTTTTGAGATTTTATAAATTCTATTTAAACTTTACTTATAACTTATTTGCTATTCTAGTATACAATTACAAGTTTTAAGGTAAAAGATCAATAAATGAAAAAAATAAAATAAAGAGATAAGATACATGTGGTAAGTTAAAAGATAATATAAATGATGAAATAAAATAAAAAGATAATAAAATATTAATATATTTAAAAATTTACAGATCATCTAAATATTATATAAAAATTTATTATAAAAAAATACTAAATATTTTATATAAAACTACTGATTTTTTAATTAATTATATATTTTTAAAATTTAAAAAAATTAAATTAGAAACTTGCAGTAATGAAATAGATTAATTTTTATTTTTTGAAAATTAAAAAAGTTATTCCAGAAAAAATTATTTTCTGATCTTTTTGAATTTTTTTTAAATCTTTTCTTAATATTTTTTATAAAAATATAATGTTCTTATTTGTAAGATATAACTGTAATATTTTTTTTTATAAAAACTTATAATTTAATCTCAAGATTAATAAATTAATAACTAAATTTTAAAATTTATATTGAATTTTTTATAATATTTTGGTTTAGTATTTTTTTTCAAATCAGAATGGAAGATTAAGAGAAATTTCTTTAATATTGATTAAATATATCTAATAATCTAAAAATGTCTAAAAAAATATTATTATTATAATTTTAAGAAAATTAAGTAATTTATATGAATTTTTATTAGTGAGATTTTAACTCAAAGTATTTTTTTATAGGAAATTCTGCCAATTTTCAGCTAAATTGTATCAAATCCATTTAGTTATTAGAGCCCGAAATTTCAAATTAATACTAGTAAAAAAAAATAGTCGAATTATTTTATTAACCTTGATATGGAACCTTGGATTCTAATAACTAAACGAATTTGGTTGAAAATTGGCATATAATAGTTCTTATCAAGAAGCAAATTTTTATAAAGTCAAGAATTTCCTATATTTGAAGTTAAACTGCACTAATTAAAAGTATTCATGTAGATCACTTAATTTCCTTAAATTATATTTTTGGGCTTTTTTAGACTAGAATTTTTTTTGTAAAATTATTTAGATCCCATTCATACAATTATACCTTTTTTTACAAAAACATCTTTGAAATAAAAATTAACGCTTTACAAGAACATTATTTTCTGTCCCACTTGTGTTCTCATATAAGAGGATGTCTGCAAATAGATCTCTCCAATTCATAAGACGAGATCTCTTTATATATCGACAAAATTTTTTGTACAAAACATATAGATGCATAAAGAAAATATCCTCTTTAAATCGAAAAACCTCTTTTAGTCGAAATTAGGAAGCTAATTGATTTAAAGAGATTTACTATGAATATATTGGAGTTAATGGTTATCGAAAAGTACGTCAACTCGAAATATAGTCCTAAGACTAATAAGCAATTTTTATTATTTAACGCAGAAGCGCTCAATTTACATCAAAAATGTAAAGTTCGTTACAGTATATAACGATAAAGACCATAACAAAATTTACTGATCGATCGTATTTTTTACCCAATCAAAATTTTATCCCACATTGCTTGCTATATTTAGTAATGATTGAAGGATAATAGCATATCGATATGAACATGGATTTACTTAAAACGATAACTTACTCTTGATATAATGAGTTTTTTCCCTAATTCAATATAGAGAGTCAATTGTTCTATAATTTTTTGGTAAATAAGCTAATTTTATTATAGGTATATTCAGAATTTGATAAGACGAAAATTTTTTCGTTTCCGCGTTCGAAAATTCTTATTTACCACAAAGAGTATCTTGACTCCATATAAATTGATGTTTGACAACGAAGGGAATTTTAAATAGATAACTTTTTTTGGCTGGTGGTTCGCTGTAATTGTTATTATTTTCATTATTAATTATGCGAAACGTTATGTAAGATGGGAATTAAAAATTAAAGTTCTTTATCTATCTAGTCTGTTATTCTCTCGTCGAATATTTTAATAAACTCAGCACACAGCACAGAGCACAGACAAGCACAGACATACAGTTGACTTCTTGTATTTCTATGTCCGATGTATTAAGTTTATGCACATTGTGCATTGTGCTCACAATCTTTATGTTGTGGATAGACAAAAATTAATGCGAGTCCTCGTGGACAAATTCCAAGAATTAAAAAGATCAATGTAATATAGTTATATCTTAGCTGATTAAGGTCAAGGTCACAAACTTTATCCATTAATTTCACGAATCAAATGATCAAAAACGCGAACATGCACGATCATATAAAATAACCCAAAGTTTACCAGTTTTTTTCTTTGGTGTTGTCGAATTTTTTTTAATTTTTAACGAAAGCAAAAAAAAATCGAGAAGACCAATCTTTCTTTTTATGATAATTTTCACCTAATAAAACAAAAAGAAAGTTTAACGGATTTACTTTTCAATAAAACGAAAAAAAATAATCTAATAACTCGCACTTTAAAAAAACACCAACTACAAATTATAAAAAATTCTCAAGCACCTTTACTACTTTATCCGTTATATGATTACTGGTATACTTAATAATGATGGCTGCTATTTCTAAAAAAAATTTAAATGTCCTTTTCTTGGTATATATATGTTTGGTGATGATGCTGGTGGTTTCGGCGCGTGCTTTACCTTTATTAACAGGTAATGTATGATTCTAGAATTTTTCAAGATATGATAATGGCATTCTTTTAACCTTTTAATTTATTTGAAACAGAGAAAGATTCAATTGAAAAGCGAGTAGATCCAAATTGCTCAGGTAAATTATTTAATAATTATCTATGTCATTTATTTACATTACTATATGCCAATATCCCCCAACTAAACCATATCTACCATGATTAAAAAGCATTCGTAACGAAAACGCCAAACAGCAAAGGTGGCCTAAAACTATTCAAGAAAGGCGACATAATTACAGTAACCTTGTTAAAAGGTCAATCACTCGTCACAAAAATCAGCGACGTTGAACTATTCAACAACAAAGGCTTGTTATCAATCGTGGCTAACGGCCCATGGTATTTCGACAAGAAAGGCCAAGTTACTATCAAGTTCAGGTTGAATCCACCAACAGGAAACCCGAGTGCAAAGTTTGGACGTGGCCCTACTGATGATTACAAGTTTATGTTACGCAGTTGGGGAAGTACTGATGAAGGACCAAGTTGTACTACTTTTAGGTTTGTTTTCTATATTGTTCTTTTTTTGTCTTTTTGTTTATATTGTCGTAATCATGATAGATACTAATTAATTATGAATTACCATTTTTATCGCATTTTATAATGACAACAGTGATCCATTTTACATTGCAAATTAGAATACCAAAAAAAAAAAAAAAAAAAAATCACGAATTTTTTTTCCACAACATTAATAAGAGAGATGATTCTAATCTCACAAACCGAACAAACCACAATTACTCTTAGCCTATCCTAATACACAAATACTTACTTGGTAAATTCCGAGAGGAATTGCAAATATATAAACACACACGACTTCTTTCTCGTTCTTAAACGCATGATTTAATTAATACATTTATTCACACATATATTCCTTTTCTCCTTCTCAACAATTACTTTGCTACTTGACTAATAACGATGCATATAATTGATTACATTGTGTGTGCCGAAATGAAGTAATGTAATAAAAAAATTTTAATAAAAGCGAATTTATTAAACAATTTTGAGAAGCGTATACGTATACGTCTATTGATATGATTCTTTCTATCGAAAACCCGTACAAGATTGTTAAATAATTATGACAATTTATTTAGTTCATAGTTCGATCGTACGCGACTAAAGACTTTAAGCACAAGTAACTCTGACAAGAAGCATTGATTGAATAACGATTCCCGAATATCACCTTACCCAATTAAGCTTTGATCAATAATCACTTAAACCGTAATGTTGATACTTAAAATGAATGAGTATATTTCTAGTTTTTTTTCTACCATTCAAACTAATTTACTATAAATCCCATTCTCTTAGATCCTTCGATCAAAACCTAATATAGATCTCTTAGAACGCTATTTTAGAACACAATAGGCTGATGTAAGTTTCTTTGCATAATGACGTACTCGTATAACTACTTTATTTCTTTGAAAAAAAGATGAAAAAATAATCTGATGGTTTTTTTATTATTTTTTCTATGAGAGCACCTGACAATCAAAGTCATTTGAACAAGTTGTGATCAGGTTTACAGGGCGTGAGAAGAATTGTGGTTTCCAAAAAAGAACAACAAAACAATCAGCCACACTGATATAAACAAAAAAAATCTCGGCAGATATTATTTTATTTTATACATACAGTATAAAATAATAAATACATATATAAGGAACCCGGTCAGACAGAGAAACAAATATCTTTCGAACGCTATAAAACACAACAATAAAACAATAATAACATTATTTTCCAAAATGCAATCTTCCAAACCGAAATACGTTCTATTACTGGCATCCATCATAATTAGTTTGATGATTTGTTGGGTCAATGCTTTACCGATTGGTAATTTATTTTATAATTCTATATTCCATCTACCATTTGTTTTGATTAATTAATTTTAATGATATTAAAAAAAATTATATAGCTCAACAATCCACCCCATACCAACCACATTGTGAAGGTAAGAAAACGTCGCCATAAATGCTACTAATGATAAATTACTCTGAAAAACTTACCATTCTTGTTCCTTCAAAATCGTTCACCGACTAGAATGGCAAATCCTACTCAATCAAACAACATACAAGAATAACACCTATATTCCACTCCTCTTCAAAAAAAACGGTTCAGATATGTTATACGTCTTCTCAGCCGATTTGTACACAGATAAGGGCGCGGCGAAGTATTTGTGGCAAGCCACTGATAATACCAAATTATACTTTGATAACACTGGAACTGCAAGTAAAGATGTGTTGTTAATAGTCCCTTCTGATCCGGAAGAGGACTACGAGCTCACAAATGGTGCAAACCCAACACAGTTCTACATTAGAAGTTGGGGTACTACGAATGGGGACACCCATTGTGCTACTTTGAGGTATGTTTATATTTAAGTGCATACATTGAGTTATGACACGTTGCAATAATTTGGTTGCTAAATGCTTTGTATCTTTGAATTTTTAGCGCACCATTCTACGTTAGTCCTTAAACCTTATATTATAAAACACGTTTTCCCCAAACACGAATTTTGATGTAAATGACTGTAAATAATAAATTATATGTTAATATGTTAATAAATTCTCATATACTGTAATAATTGGATTACGTACAAAATAAATAATACACGTCTCTTATAATTTTATATTCTAATATAAAACCTGGCAAAATGTAATCATCAAAAACAACACGTCTTTTCCGTTCTATCAATCGATTCCAAAAATTTAACTTTAAAATCGATAGACATAGCATCATATGTTCTGAATCCAAACTTTTAAGAACCTTTGTAATTCTGACAAAGCCGGCTTATCTTTTTTGACTAGACTTCGACTTTCTTTCTTCTAAAGTGGTAATTTTCAAATAAGAGTTAAACTTGAATCTGATGTTTGCCGAGACAAACCATGGACTTCATGTGTTCCGTAGTTGTGCCAGTCTCTGAAATAACAAACCAAGTCGTTAGTACACTTGATTAGATCGAAACTAAGACGTACTCTAAAAACCTTGAATTTCAGTCATTAAATTTACATTGTTCGAAATTTTATTAGTTCCAGCCACAATTAACACAATACATGTTAATTTGAATTTATATTATAGAATAATAATATATTAATTTCTTTGATGCTGGCTAATTTAAAATCACATAATTTGATTTAATTATGGCTTGATTTTAATGTTGGCCAAAATTATTTAGTGTATCATGTTTTTTGACATACTTTGATAATGTTGGCCGAAGCTATAACATAATTTATCAAAATTTTACATGTCTAATCTGAATTATGATTTAATTTCTTAATACTAGTAAAAAGAAAATACTAAAAAAATTTTTGCTTTCTTATTGGTTGGTTTAGAAATAGTTAGATAAAACTCTTTATTATCTAATTTCTATGATATATCTGATTCTGATAATATATCTTTTTATTAATTGATTATAAGTTTTTTATTTATATATGCATATAAAGTGAATTGATCATAATTACTCTTTAAATAAGAAGTTTACTAAAGCCAGATGATATCATATAATTTTGAATTTAATTTAAATTCAAATTATATAAAAAATTCATGTGATAAGTAATAATTAACTAAATAATTTTAATTAATAAATAATCATAATAATAGTATTAATTATTGATTAATTAATAATTAAGAATAAAGCTCATAAAGATTATTAATTCATAATAAATATCAAAGAATAAAGCTTATTTATTTTTTTTATAAAAAATAATAGTAATAAATATAATTATAAAATTAATTAACTTATAAAATAATAAATTATTATATTATAATTTTAAAAATTAAATCTAATAATTTATTTAAATATGTAATAAATACTTTCATAATATTATTATTATGTTTATTCTTAATTTTTTAATACTTATCTTATATTTTTTTTAAAAGCTTATCTATTTATAATTTTTATATATAAGCTTAAATATTTTAATTATTTTATAATATTTATATATTTTAAAACTGATCTTTATAAATATTTATTAGAATTTCTTTTAAATATTAATTATTAATAATTTGTTAGAATTAAAAAGATACTTATAAAAAATATATTAATAAGAAAGTAAATAATAATGAAAGAATATATTAATAATATTAGATTTAGTAATAATTTTTCTTTTATAATTCTTATATTTATAATAATAATTTTATTTATAATAGTTTTTGAATGAAATAGAAAATTTATGAACTTTTTTCAGAATTTTGTTATTAAGATTAGCTATAAAAATTTATTTTTGATGAAAATTAAAGATAATTTTTTTAAAATTAAGTTATTTTTTATTATTAAAATTAATAAACTTAATATAATATAAATATTTAATAAATAAAAAATTATAATAAAAAAATATTATAAAGCAAGTATAATATTTATAAAATTAAATTCTTTAGATATTATTTTTTTAAGCTTGCTATAGAAAAATTCTAATGAATTAATTGAAATAATTTATAATAAAAAAAATAAATATTATTATATTTAAAGTACTTATTTTTTTATATTTTTAATATAATTTTAATTAATATAATTAATAATATCAGATATAAGACAAGTAATAATAGTATTATAAATAATAATCAAGATTAATTAATTATATATTATTAAACAATAAATTTTATAATTATATATATATATTATATATATTATATAAAGAATTATATTATAATTTTATTTATTATATATAATTTTCAAAAAAATATTTATAATATTATTAATCTTTATATTATTTTAATTAGAAAATATATATCAAAAGTATTAATAAAATATAAATTTATGAATTATCTTTAGTATTTTAATTATTATATTATTATTATTATTACTATAAAAAATATTCTAATATTTATAACTATTATAAATATATAACATAAAGAGATATCATAAATATTTATTAATATTATATGTAAAATTTATAAGTATTAGTTATTTAAAAAGTTATAATTTTTTTAACTGCTTAAAATTTATAAAAATAAAATCTTGAGATAATTTTTATATAATATTATATATATTTATATATATATTTATATATATATCTTTTTATATTAAGAAATATTTAACTTAATAATTCTTGTAAATTAAAAAATTAAGAGTATTTTTAATATTAATTTCTAAATTATATTTGTTAATAAAATAAATTATTAGTTATTTATATAATTTTTATTAGATATTTATAATTTTAATTTTATATAAATTTTAAATTATGTAAGATCTTTTTATTTATAATTTTTTTAATTATAGTTATAATAATAAATAAAATATATAATTTATTTATTTTATTAATTATTAATAATCTCAAATTACTTAATTTTATTATTATTAATTAAATATTATTATTATTTTTGATATTTTTAAAAAGATTATTTTATAATAGATTAATGATTTTATATATAATATTTAATTAAAATAAGATATAATAAAGATATTATTAATTATAAATAAGAAAAACTGTAATAATTTTGATTAGGTTATCTTTTTTTAGTTTAAATCTTTGTTTTGCACTATCTGTATTACAAATTAGCTTTATATTATATTTTTAAGAAGATTAATTTCATATTAAATATATAAATGATCATTATATATTTAATATATTAGATTTAGTATATTATCATGCAGATAATTACTATATGTATCATAATTATTAATTTAGATTATTAATATTTTTAATTACATTTATTATTAATATTTTCTTTATAATTTTATTTGTTCTTTTTTATTATTATTTATATTATTATTTATATTATTTATAATTATTAGATTATAATTAGTTACTTTTCAGAAATACAAATTAAGTTAATTAATTCTGTTCAACTCATATATATTATAAATTATTATTAATATATTTGTATTTTGTATTTATTTCTTTTTTATAAATATAATCTCTCTATTCTATACTTTTATCTCAGATCTGAATACTTTAAAATAATAAAAATAATTATAAGTTATAAAATTAAAATTATTTATATCATATTTTATCTTGTTTATAATCATTAATAAAATAATCTTACAACTTGATAGTAGTGGACATGATTATTACAAATATCATTCTCTAACATCTTACATATTATATATCATACATATTTCATATACACATATCTTAGTTTTTGTTATTAGAATTTAATAAAGATAAATACAGAATAATTTATATAATTCATGACAAACATAACTGAATTAATCAAGATAATAAAAGAAGATGGTCTCTCTGGTCCTAAGTCTTTATCTCATTTCTTAATTAAACTACTAATTTACTTAGAAGAGCCAAATAAAAATGTATTTGTTTGAACTATGCAAATCAAAATTATATTCTTGATTCAAGAAATTATAAATGAAAAGATATAAGTATAATATGCAATAATCTCTTTTATTAATATAGTATTACATTGGTATCTTAATAAATATAAGACTAATAATCATGCAACATCTTTTAAGAATTGGGATAACTTTGTTATAGCACTTAAAGAAGTCTTTCAATCATCTCACTATTAATAATACCTTCACAGACAACTATATCTTCTTCATTAAACTGGTTTAATACAAGACTATGATACTAAATTCAGAAATATAGTTGGTTAAATAACTAATATGAATGACCTAGATCAAGTCATATACTTTATAGAAAATCTAAAACTCATTACAAAGATAAAAATAAGTTATCAGATATTAGAAATTCTAGAAGAAGCTTGAAAATTAGCTATTCACTATAATATAGCAATATATGGACAAGACAGATCTCTAAACTTATTAAGCAAAAATAACAATAATCATTACTTTCAAAATCAATACAAAAATCATCAGAATAATGGTCCTATACTTATAGAATTAAACCAGGCAGAGAGTCATTATAATAATAAAAAGAATAATAATAATCAGAAGAATAATAAGTTTAAAGATATCTGTTATAACTATGATAAATCAGATCACTTTACAAAGAATTATTATTTTAAATCAAAGATTAAAATTGCAAATATTGAAGATAAATAAGAATCTTCATAATCTTATGAGAGAGTTAAGTTTGCTTATTTAGAAGTTAATAGAGAAAGATTATTAAAATTTAATGACCAAGTAAATAGTAAATCAGCATAGGTATTACTAGATAGTGGTACATCAAAAAACTTTGTTAATGAAAAGTTTATACAAAAGAACAAAGTAAAATTACAGAAGACTATATCAATTATAGTTAAACTCGCAGATGATAAAAAGATCACTATTATCACCATGACAAAGATTGATAAGCTAAAACTAGATACTTATAAAATATACAAGATAGATATACAAATATTGAAATTGCAGAGATATGATCTCATCCTAGATAAATCTTAATTATTTCATACCAATCCTATTATAAACTGAAGAAATAATATCATTATCTTTACCTATGAATCAAAAATAATAAAAGTTCAAGCTGATAATGAAATCAAGTCAGACTCCAATTATAATTCAATTTATATTTCAAGATAGTAAATTACAAATCTGTTAGTAGATATAAAGCTTTTTACTAT